CGCAATGCTACTTTCATGGAACAGCGCCATATTTGTTCCTTTGTGGCGTAAACAGCGCCGCTCGTATACTGAACACGGTTTATTAAAGCAGCATAAACTTGATAATATTTTCGGTTTCACTTGAAACAGGCATTTTTTACATTTCGGTTTCTTTTAAGAATTTTTTTACAGCCCTATCAGCTGCTGTACGATTACAGAGACAGTATTACTAGCACCTCTCGTGAATAACAAAAGGATTTCTTCCGCTATGGTAGCCATGTTAGAACAGGACATATCGGTTTGGTTAAAGACAATGAAATATCGTTGTCAGTTACCTACTCTATAAATTCATGATTTTTCGTGATGCCTTGGCAACTAACAAGCGAGATCGTTACTTACTGGCGGAGGTAGCCCTCCATATGCTTTTTCCCAACTCCCTCAAAAAACGATCAGTTTACTAATTAGAATGACTGCGTAAAGCATAGGGTTTAATCCAAAATATATTAAGCATTATGATGCTACTATATCAGTCAATCAGTCACTCCCTCTCTCACTCACTCACTCAGCCTGCCTACCTGCCTGTCTGTCACACAGGCAGCCATCCAACAAGTCTGCAACAGAGTTCATACACTTTCCCAGTTTATTCTCGGCCATTCCCGAGGTTTTCCTCCTGTCGATTGGGCAAACAGTAGTTGTTTTGTCTTTCTGTCTGAAAGCATTCGCAATACGTGCCCAAGTCATTGCAGCAATGATAAAGCAAGGCTGCACTGCAGGTGCTTAAATGTTATGGATCGTTGACCCTTCGTAAATGCCTACCGGGTGACTAGAAGCGAGGTTGCGGTACAACGCCTTGTGAAGACTTCTCTGTCTCTCACTACCGTAATATCCGTGTAAAGTAAGAAGTTTACTTTCTTTACGCAGCACGTGTGTGCCCTGTAAATCCATTATCAGTGTTTAAATTGTTAAAAATCTTTCGTTAATGCATGTAATAAAAACATATAGAAAAGGTGTCGAATGATTGTTTCAAGACCAGACTTCACGGCCTAGTGCACCGCCCCTTTTATCCTAGCTGTTTATGGGGGCCATTTATGCAGGTCACGGTTCCATGGTATTTCAGCACTTGCTGTAGCAGATGCATCTCGCATCATTTTACTCTCTACAGCCACCCTGCGCTTGTCATCATCGATTTTTCAAACGCTAGCATTTTTCATATGCTACTGCTCAGATCATCAACCTATACCTCTGATTCTAGCTTGTCTAGGTAGTTCCCCTAGGCACAAGGTGCATTGGGGCGATGCAAA